TCCCTACACTGGCTCCCAGTTTCTGCTCGCATCTAATTTAAAACTCTGCTGCTCGCTTACAAAACAGCGACAAAAATGGCTCCTCCTTACCTAAACTCTATAATCCAGGTCTACACTCCCTCCCTCCTGTACCCACTCAATCTGCCATGAAAGGCGTCTAATCCAACGTTCACAACAGGGCCCTCTGTCGCCCCCCCCAGTGGTGGAAGGAACTTCCAAACTCCTTCGAGTCCCTTTGCACCTTTAAGAGAAAGCTAAAGACCCATCTCTTTCATGAACACCTACGAACTTAATGATGATGATAATGATGATGGTTTTGATATTATTGATGATGATGACAGAGACAATTGTTTTGATGATACTGAGTGGAACGCTCAAGAACAGCCATCCATGTAGTGCATTGCCTGTCAGCACCTGTGTGTCCGATCGGACTCAAGGCTGTTTGTTTGCACTTTCTAGACTTTCTGTATCATTGCTTGTGTTAGTCTTACTCTAAGCGTCTGCTAATTGACTTGTAGAATTGTAGAACATATAAACAAATAACGGGTAAAAAGCCAGAGTGACAGTATTAGAGAAGTGATAAATAAGTAGCTGTGTTAGATCTAAAGGTCAAAAGTTATTAAAGTCATTCAAAAAAACTCAACGTCAACGAGAAATAGCCTTCCTTAAAATGCCTGCTTGTTTATAGCATTGTTACAGTTGTTCCTCTTGATCTTGATTCTGCCTTGTCATGGTTGAAATAAAGGGAAGTTTCATTTTTTTAGAATGACTGGCTCTACTACACTCTAGATGTGTGATGAAACAGTTTATTTTATGTTGACAGATCAGATACTCTGACTCAAAGCAATAAATATCCATTCTGAAAGAACAAGCTCGTCATGAAACATTTTGTGCACTTACAATACATTTTTATTCTAACAAGCTCCACGAGCAGAAACGTGGTAAAACTAGGATCAATATTGGAGATGCTTTTAAACAATAGAGACGTTAGAATACAGAAAGGTTTACAGAACAACGCAGAGGTGGCTAAATTCTGAAGTTGAGTTTCCACGACATGGCAACCTACATGCAGCTCTCGTCTATGTTTTGAATTTGGACTGCAGTACCCATTTTAAACACTATGTCTCAGAGATATTGCTCCTTTAAACTAAACTTGCAATAACTTACAGGACCATCCATTTTTTTGACCTGCATGTTTTTAAGTTGATTGTTTCTGGGTGTTGTATATTGTGTAACTCTGTATACTGTTGAACTGGTCAGAGCAGCCTGTTGTTGTAGCTGTAAACAGTGAACTGTAATACTTCAGTAAGAATGTGTGATTTCACAGACTCAGCTTGTTTTATGTTATATGGTGTTAAAAATAATGTGCATATGAGTTTTGATATATTTCATACTTCTATGTCTGCATGTGCTTCGTCACCAATTAACGAAGCTAGCGAGCACTTTGTTCCTTAATGGCAATTGTGCCTAACTGGGTGAGCTCTAATGCTTCCATGTGGTCGGATGTGTGTGCCCACGTTCCCTAAATGAGTGTAGTAATAATGAGTTGGGTTTCAGCATGTAACAGGCTGTTGAGTGTCCTCAACTGTCTCCTCACGGACTTAATGGACAAATTACCCTTTTAGAGAACTTGAGAGAGATGGAGAGCAGGCTGAGTGGCAGGGAGTTTGAGAAACATGACAAATGGGGGAATGAGGATGGAAAGAGGGACAAGACGACTGAGAGGAGAAAATTAAATACGTGAAAGAATGCGAAAGAAGATGCGAGAGGGAGGAAGAGAGCAGAAAGGAGAGAGAGAGAGAGAGAAAATGAGGGGGTGGAATTCATCGAGGGAAGAGACAAAAGGGGGAGAAAGTGAGTGGGAAGGGCGTAGGAAGAAGAGGAAGATTACATGCGATTTCCTTGAAAGTCCATAAGCTCATAGCAAGTGCAGGAAAAACAGAAGGGTGTGAGACGTGTGTCCGTCGAGGGCAGTAGCTGAAAAGTGCTGTCGCCTCCTGGGTGTTAAATGTAACATGATGTCATGTAAAATTCACGGCCAACGAGAACGTACAATTAGCGAGAGAATCTCAGGCAGAAAAAAAAATGAATTGACGAAGGAGGAGAGAGACGAAAAGGATGATTTCATGGCAAAAAATGTAAGATGCACCCACATGTGTAAATTCTCATTACAATATTCAGCCACCATTCTCTCCAGCA